ATCGAGTGTTTGAGGGCTCTCTCATTGTTATGCACAAAGTTCAATAATGAATTCAAAAGTAGTGTATTGCGCACTTTTATTTTGAAAGTACTGCTATATGAACAAAAGGTCAATAACATTTGGTTTAAACACTTTAAACACATCAGGTTGTTGTTAGCAGCAGTATTCCCTTTACACAGTAGCAGTTCTATCTCTTCACTATCTGCTCAGTGTGTGACTGTGTGTGAAACATTCCACTGCTGTGCAACAGGAATAACATGTTTCAGCACGTTTCATCTACATGTGTGTGTTGTGTCTTCATGACAGTCAGAGCATGTGAATGCAGCTCTACTCTTCATCACTATGATGCTGTAACTCAGAGGTGATGATGGTGACCCAGCGATGTCCAGTAGTCTCCAGTGAGAGCAGCAGCTGCTGCACGTTGTAACGCCGTTGCTTTAGTCATCCTCTCCTTTAATACAACTCGTGTGTTCTTCTGGTGACGGTGCATCTTGAGGCTCATATGTGACGTCATTCGTTGAGATCCTAAAGCTGCGTTCACACCAAACGCGACGTGAACGCACCTTGAGAACGTTCCTCAGACCGACATCTTCCACAACACTAACCTGCAGTTTGTCTCCACTTCTCTGTAGCATCTATTAGCTTGTGTTGCTTTAGTTTCTCTACTTCTCCCACACACTGCATCAACGTAGTCTGAAGACTTCCTCCACCGCTGCCAGTGAGCAACGCACTTTACAAATAATAATTTTAAAAAAACTGCGTTAACGCGCGATAAAATAATTGTCGGCGTTAATTAATTAATGCGTTAACGCGAAAACAACGCGTTAACTTGCCCAGCACTAATATACAGTGGGTACGGAAAGTATTCAGACCCCTTTAAATTTTTCACTTTGTTTCATTGCAGCCATTTGCTAAAATCAAAAAAGTTAATTTTATTTCTCATTAATGTACACTCAGCACCCCATCTTGACAGAAAAAAACAGAAATGTAGAAATTTTTACAAATTTATTAAAAAGGAAAAACTGAAATATCACATGGTCATAAGTATGCAGACCCTTTGCTCAGTATTGAGTAGAAGCACCCTTTTGAGCTAGTACAGCCATGAGTCTTCTTGGGAATGATGCAACAAGTTTTTCACACCTGGATTTGGGGATCCTCTGCCATTCTTCCTTGCAGATCCTCTCCAGTTCCATCAGGTTGGATGGTGAACGTTGGTGGACAGCCATTTTCAGGTCTCTCCAGAGATGCTCAATTGGGTTTAGGTCAGGGCTCTGGCTGGGCCAGTCAAGAATAGTCACAGAGTTGTTCCGAAGCCACTCCTTTGTTATTTTAGCTGTGTGCTTAGGGTCATTGTCTTGTTGGAAGGTGAACCTTCAGCCCAGTCTGAGGTCCAGAGCACTCTGGAAGAGGTTTTCTTCCAGGATATCTCTGTACTTGGCCACATTCATCTTGCCTTCAATTGCAACCAGTCGTCCTGTCCCTGCAGCTGAAAAACACCCCCATAGCATGATGCTGCCACCACCATGTTTCACTGTTGGGATTGTATTGGGCAGGTGATGAGCAGTGCCTGGTTTTCTCCACACATACCGCTTAGAATTAACGCCAAAAAGTTCAATCTTGGTCTCATCAGACCAGAGAATCTTATTTCTCATAGTCTGGGAGTCCATGTGTTTTTTGGCAAACTCTATGCGGGCTTTCATATGTCTTGCACTGAGGAGAGGCTTCCGTCGGGCCACTCTGCCATAAAGCCCCGACTGGTGGAGGGCTGCAGTGATAGTTGACTTTGTGGAACTTTCTCCCATCTCCCTACTGCATCTCTGGAGCTCAGCCACTGTGATCTTTGGGCTCTTCTTCCACGATTGCTCAGTTTGGCTGGACGGCCAGGCCCAGGAAGAGTTCTGGTCGTCCCAAACTTCTTCCATTTAAGGATTATGGAGGCCACTGTGCTCTTAGGAACCTTGAGTGCTGCAGAAATTCTTTTGTAACCTTGGCCAGATCTGTGCCTTGCCACAATTCTGTCTCTGAGCTCCTTGGGCAGTTCCTTTGACCTCATGATTCTCATTTGCTCTGACATGCACTGTGAGCTGTAAGGTCTTATATAGACAGGTGTGTGCCTTTCCTAATCAAGTCCAATCAGTTTAATTAAACACAGCTGGACTCCAATGAAAGACTAGAACCATCTCAAGGAGGATCAGAAGAAATGGACAGCATGTGAGTTAAATATGAGTGTCACAGCAAAGGGTCTGAATACTTATGACCATGTGATATTTCAGTTTCTCTTTTTTAATAAATTTGCAAAAATTTCTACATTTCTGTTTTTTTCTGTCAAGATGGGGTGCTGAGTGTACATTAATGAGAAATAAAATGAACTTTTTTGATTTTAGCAAATGGCTGCAATGAAACAAAGAGTGAAAAATTTAAAGGGGTCTGAATACTTTCCGTACCCACTGTATTCATAAAAATGTTGTCATTGAAGCTGTTTTGAGAAAAACAGGTAAATAGATTATCTGAAATGACCTTTCATCTTGTGAGGAAAGAGTCTGGAACACGTTCAAATCAGGGAGTAAAAATTGTAAAATAAATACCCACAATTATACATCATATTTTTTTGACATTTCATGGTTACGTGATATGTCCCATTCCTATTTACACCATTTTAAGCCCTTACGGTCTCTCCCACTCAACCACTTACCAGGTGACATCAATAAGTCCCTGAGGGTTCAGGGTTTAAGGCTTTAGGGGGGACGTTGGGACTGGGCCAGACAAATGGACCGACACTTTCCAGAAGTTAACTCGTTCATGAGCACACACTCACAGAGAACGTGTGAGAGCTAACACAGTAACATAAAGCACACCCACTGAGCCGTTTTGCTTGTAGTTAATTCCTTCTTTGTTTCTGATTCTACTGAGAGGACATGCTGCAGTACCTTTTCACTTCTCCAGTTTGGTAGCCTTTAAAGGTCTAAGTCTGTCAGTATTTCTATATGTAGCATGTAAAGATCTACTACGATATATTCTTTGTGTATTTGCTGTTTTAGTATAACATTTGTTTTGTAATAATAGATTCTAATCGTGAGATGGAATCTTTCTATCTCAGGATTAGTCAAGTCAGAGTTCAGGGTTACTCTCAAAGTTTGTTGAACCTGCGTTCTGAAACAGGGCTCATAACTGTTTGGTAGGAAGATGCCTATAAGGTCACTGAGGTGGCTGCTTTTACACATTGCCTGTAAAGCCACTGTTCAACAACAAAGGAAGAACCGCCCTCCACCAGGGACCTCAGTCAGAATCATAATAGTGATCAACAATAGCTCGTTGTGATTATGTTAGATGTCATGAACAGCAGTACATGTTCAAACCTTATTATTGAGCGTGAGTACAATCAGCTCTCAGGCCACGTCCACACTAGTCCTTTTCCATTTTAAACGTTTACACTGAGCGTCCACACTACGCCGGCGTTTTAGAGCACCATAAACGGATACGTTTGAAAACTCCGGGTTGCGTTTTCGTGTGGACGGCCGAAACCAGATACGATTAGAAACGATGATGCCCACACCCGCGTTCTCTACTTGATTGGTTCTTAGCAGTCATGACGTGTCCTTCCCTGATTCGTCACATGTCTATCATGTGACCCTTACCCGGAAACTCACAAACAACAGCCTTGATTACCGATCGACTACCAGGTTAATTTAACATGGAAAACTGATTACAGGCGTTGCTGACCTTGTTGTCTTTACTAGCAGCTGTTGTCCAGTTAAAGTCTGCATTATTACGGAGGAAGCAGCTGTTAGTGGAGCGATTAGTCCAGCGGGGTTATCAGACCTACAGAGCGGACGTCTGAAGTCACGGTTAGCAGTAAATGCTATTCAGTAGGACAGATAGTTAATCCACCAACAGAGCTACGAGTGAGAACAGACAACAACGAGGACACGAGTGAGAGATGTGTGTTGGCCACATTTATGGACTAGTAAACCTTTGTGTGTAAGTGTTGATTTTAAAGTAAATTTGATGGGAGAGAGAGACCCACAGCGCTGTAACTAAGTCTGAAAAATAAAACTTCTAAAACTTTCCCAAATGTGTCTGTTTGAGTTTATAGAGGAAGATTTTAGAGAAGATCTTAAGTATCAAACACAACCTTTCATTATTAAAGACTACTTTATTACTCTGTCGTATTTTTTTTACTAAGCAACCAATCTACTTCCTGTTTACATCAGCAACCATGCCATGCCCAGTGTACGTGAAGAGTCACGTGATATTCGTTTTCAGGCGTGTTAGTCTGGACGGAGATCATTTAGAAAACGATGCTGAAACGCCGTGTGGACGGAGATCGTTTTAGTTTGAAAACTCCGTTTACGTTTAGAAATGGAGTAGTGTGGATGTACTCTCAGTCTGACCTCTCACCGCCCACAGCTCCCTCCTCTCACCCTCACCTTCCTCCTCACACCTCTCTCCTCTCAACCTTCCGTCTCTCCTGTCACCTCCTACCTCACAGCTCCCTCTTACCTCCATCCTTACAGGTCCCTCCTCTCACCCTCACCTTCCTCCTTGAAGCTCCCTCTTCTCACCTTGCTCCTTACAGCTCCCTCCTCTCACCCTCACCTTCCTCCTCACATCTTGAATCACGACAGACTGAATTTAAACAAGTGATAAGATGAAAGAAGGCTTTAATCCACCTGTATTCATTGTCAATAAAACCACCATTAAATGATTATTTAAAGCTGCATCAACTTATTTTGTTTTATTTTTTAGTTGCTTTGATTCAGTGGAACAATCTGTAAATATGGGACTCCCCATTCACCTGTCCACATCTGGGTTCTCCCGTAGAGTGTAATCTGGCAGTTTCCACAGTCATTTATATATAGTAGTATGTCGTTTAAATGGCCAAGTAGTACAGAAATCAAAGCTTTTCGGTGCATCAGACAGATACACACAATACTGCAAAATAGCTTTGGGGTCAGACTAAGGCTTGAATTACTTCCTGTCGGAGGCAGATGGTGGCTTCGATTTTGACTTTTGCCCCGCAAAACCTCACTAGCTTACAGTTATCTGCAGGACATCTCTAGTCACTGACATTACATAGACGGGAAGAAGACAGGCTGTGAGGAGGTCTGTGATCGGGATGTTGCTGTAGGAAAAGAGAAAAGAAGGATAGTTAGCCGTGGCTACCGACTGTGATAATATAGCATATCTGTCTGTTCATGTGCCAAAATGGACTGCAGAAGTAGAGAAAGAAGGAAAAGGGTTTGTTAGACATGAAAACGATGATAAAGAATAGAACTGGTCTACAGCATCCTGGGCATGAAAAAACATCTAGATTCCCCAACACACAGGTAATAATGTTAATATAACAAACTGATTGAGGTTCGAAAAATTAAAAATAATATTCATGTAGAAAGAGAGCAGAACAGAATTGGGGTACCTACTTGTCAAAGAAGAAATCAGATTTATAGGCTTTAATAAGATTTCTCAGCCACTGAAACTGGGAGAGGTCATAGGATACAGAGAAAATATGCATCTTCGGCCTGGATTTGGAAAGTTTAGCCTAAACCAAAAAGGGAAGCTTGATAGTCAAAGGCTCTACTCCCAAGAGATTGTTCGTTCAATGAAGGAACAGGTCAATAACCTGCATAAAGAGAGCGTAAGGGACATGAAGTAGTATACAGAGTAATATGACTGGAGATGTAGCACTGAGACATTTATCATTACTTACAATTTTTGTGCCCCCTCAAGTGGAGGTATTACTGCACCCACCTAAAAATAGCTACTGAGTTTAACTTTGTGTGTTCTCTAATTCAGTTGTAAATATCATAGTGTGCAGAATTGCTGTTATTAAAATATAAATAAAAAACAAGTATTAATGCTTGACCATAATACACATGGTCTCTAATCACAAATGACGTATTATTATTTTTAGATCCTTTGTGGGGCAAAAACTATAAGGTCTGGTAGTGATAGGCATAATTGCAACTTTGGACTTCTTCCAGTATTTATGCTAAGCTAGGCTAACACGTCCTGACACCAGCTCTGTACAGATCACACAGACTGACTGATTGACGGGCTATTGATTTTCTCACCTCTCTCCTGGAAAGATATGCATGTAAGCATATTTTCTTTAAACTAAATATATATAGAAATATGAAATTTATGTTGCTATTTAGCAAGCCGCCATTTTGGAGTGACATCACTGCATTCATAGAGTGTTGGTTCGGCCGTCAGACAGTCAAGATTTGTGTGACGCCTTTTCAGTAGTTGGTATGGAAAAAAAATGTAAACTCCCCAAGTTATAAAAACATGACAACATGTCAATAATTCCTCTGCCTCCCTTAAGGATAATGGTACATGTAATAAGTGTAGTTTATTTGTTAGGTTGGAGGCGAGGCTTAGTGCGTTAGAAGCATGGCTCCGCACCATGGAAGCTCAGTCGTTAGCTACTGTAGTTAGCCAGCCTCAGGATTTGTCTTTTAACTCCCAGATAAAACAAACTTCTAGGGCTGCCTTTTTTCACCTAACATTTAAAAAATCAGGCACTTCCTGTCTGATTTTGCAGAATGCAGAAAAACTAGTTCATGCATTTGTTACCTCTAGACTAGATTACTGTGATTCCTTATTATCAGGCTGCTCTAACAAATTTCTTAAATCTCTCCAGTTGATCCAGAATGCTGCAGCTTGTGTACTAACAAGAACTAAGAAAAGAGATCATATTACTCCTGTATTAGCTTCTCACCACTGGCTCCCTGTAACATCTAGAATATAATTTAAAATCCTTCTGCTTACCTACAAAGCCCTGATTGGTCAGGCACCATCATATCCTAAGGAGCTTATAGTACCATATTACCCCACTAGAGAGCTGCAAAACATTTTTTTTTTTACATTTGTCTTGTCTGTTATATAACTGTTGATTAGAGTGGAAATCCATTTAGTAAATCATCTGAACTTGGTTGACTACTGTTGGGACCTCACCATGTAAGTGAACAATGAAAGGCCTACATGTAGGATAAAAAAGCATGCGCATATAGAGGCCTACATGTAGAGCCTGAAGTCTGAACCATGGACCAAAGCCAAAACCCTTCCAGATTTTAAGAAAAATTATTAAATTATAAAATAGCTATAACTTTGTGATTCTGTTTAGGCCAGCAGAGAAGGCCTTGCTGACCCTGACGGCCCACCACTGTTCAGACCCTACAGTACAAGGCAGCACACATCGCCTCCCATTTTCCTACACAATGGATTTTTTTTTCTTTCTTTATTCAACTCCAGTGTTAGTTAGAACCGACTGTTTTTGGTGTTCTCCTTTGAAAGAACACTGTGCAACCAGTGGTCTCACTCGGCCTGCAGAAGAAAGACACGGATCACCTTGCTTCAAGAAATGGAAGGATAACTCATGAGACCCACTCTCTTTCAACCTTTATTACACTGTAAGTTTTTACCGTGTTGTGAATTGAATGGACCACTAAGTCCTGTTAAATGCTGTGTTGAGACTACCTTTATTGCTGTGCTTGCTTCTTGTTTCTGTGTTTAACACGTTACATTGATTTTGTTGTACTAGGCCATGCAGCTGACCAGGCAATTGAGGCAGCATGTCCTGCCGCCAATCCCCACATAACAAAACCTCACTCTTCCCCCAATTGGATCTAGCTGAAGAACCTCTCTCACAAGTCTGAATGCTAGTCTCTGAAGCCTGTACATCATGCCTAAGAAGAAGGTGTAGGAAGAAGAAGGATTAACGAAGAACAACAAGAAGAGGTATGAAGATTTCTAGAAATGATATGAAATAATTGTTCAATAATTTGAACCCACATCCATCATTTTTTGGTCTGTCAATCCATCCACATACTCAAACTGACCACCCTAGATATTGACTCGACGGCGGATAACAGCCTTGTCCATCTCCCCCAGCAGAGTTTCCTTGTTGTTCTTTATGTTGGCTTTCGCCATCTCCAACACAAACTCAATCTTCTCCTGGCTGAAGGGAAGCTGGAAGATGAAGAACTCCTCCATCTTTGCTTTGACCTCCTTCGCATCTGGACCAGAATAAAACTGTTAACGATTCTGAACATATTTGACATCAGTGTTTTGTGTTGTGAGCTTGGGTGTAACAGACCTTTGCAGTTGCGTCTGTTGAAGAGTGGCATGTAAACAATCGTGGGTTCCTTCTTTTTTCCCTCAAACACATAGTAGTCCTTTGGCCATGCCGTCTCCTCCAGGGTTTTGTCGTCTATTTCTGGGAAAGGCTTATTCATTGCCATTGCATATTCTCTGGCAAGAGTCAGAATCTGACCAGAGAACAGTTTGATTTATTCTCATTAGCCAGTCTTATGACATTTGTTAATCCTAGGGCTCCATTAATATACCTACATCACACAAGGGCAACCACAAACGCTCACTTTACAAACGTCTCACCTTGAAGGCGTCATCAGCCCCATAGTCCAGAGCAATAAGAAGGTCTGCATCTCTCTTTTCTCCCAGGAAGGGAGGGAAGGGCATGTTGAGCATCAAAGCAGCGTCTATCAGCTGTAGGTGTTCCTTAAGTTTGATACAAGATGGCACCGCAGCACCTTCCCAACAGCACAAATCACAATATAGCAAATGTTTATTCTTATTCAATTGTTTATTACCATATATCTGGCAAATCAAAGGAGTGTAAATGTAATACATGTACAGGTATTAGGCTTCGTGACAGAGGTTCACCTGGGTATTGGTAGAGGAAGTTTTCAGTTGTTCCCCATTCCCATTTCCCAATCAGAGGGATGACTTTTTGGATTAGCAAAGAAACTGGTAAAACAGAGAACCCCAAATGATCAAGTTACTGTAAGTAATAAAAAACTTAAAGCTGCATTTTTTGAATTATTTTGCCACTAGGGGGGAGCAACGCAAACTGTAAACACAACATCTACCTATACATTTTTTTTTATTGCTAACACACTAATATGACATAAAGACTGACACTCGGAGAGCAAAACCTCAGTTAAGCCTCCAACACTCTAAACAGCTGCCTTTCACCCAATTTGCAATTCAACATGGCACTTTTTGCAACACTCTGCACACGGTTCTCTACATAAGACACGTGACTGAGTATGAGTACCCTTTTACAACAATAATAGTAATTCATAATTTTTATTTTGTCTTTATGTACTATATTCTATTTAGAATATACACATTTTCAGTGCAAAATGAAAATCTTCATCAGTGTGCAGTACAACACTTATGTTTAGTCAATATATTCATGTACTTCACTCTCACAATATTGCTGAAAATTCAAACAGTCTAGAAAGGTAGTAATGTTGGAGATGTTTTGGATTACAGTTCTTTTTCTCCTATTATAATAATAACTTTATTTATATAGCACCTTTTAAAAACAGAGTTCACAAAGTGCTTTGACAGTCAAAGCAGCAAAAACAATTCAATAGTAACAACAGATTGCTATTGCTAACACCCTAAGGCTACATCCACACTACTACGTTTTGGTTTTAAAAGCATATCTTTCGTTACATTCACGCCTAGCGTCCACATTTCTCACGCATTTTAGAGCCCCTAAAACACTACTTAAAGCATTTTAGTTTTAAAACTCTGGGGGTTGCATTTTAGTGTGGACGTGCAGAAATGGAGACCTTTGAAAACAATGACGCGGACACCCACATTTGCTACTTGATTGGGTCCTAATGGTCACGACGTGTCCTTCCCTGATTCGTCACGCCGCCGGAGGAAAACAAACAATATCAGCCTTGATTACCAAGCAACTACCAGTGGTTAATTCAACATGGATAGGGATTACAGGCGTTGCTGACCTTGCTGTCTATACTAGAAGCTGTTAAATTCTGAATTTTATAGGTCTACTACTGGAGGCACGCTATTATTTTAGCGCTTTGCGAGCGGCGTGTCGAGCGGCATTATCAGTCCTACGGAGCGGACGTTTGAAGTCACGGTTTGAGGAGGGCGATGGACATAAAACGGAGCAGTCTCCTCTTCTTATCTATGCTTATTTTGTTCTGCAAAACTATTGTGAAGTCCACAAAGAAATTGTATACAAACAAAAGCAAAAATGCTGTCCAGTGCGTCGGACTTCAGCCATCCCTTACAGAGAAAACGTGTAAGAGACGTGTGTTGACCAAATGTATTGACCTATAAACTAGTAAAACTTTGATTTGTAACTGCTCAAAAAATTGATGTAAAGAATGTAATGAAAAGACAAGCACACTTATTGAGACTGACACATAGAGAACAAAACCTCAGCTCAAGCCTCCAAAAATCTAAGCACATGTTCTGCTTTGCACACAGTTTGCAATTCAACAGCACACTGCACAGAGTTCTCCAGATAAGACACATGAATTGAACATATACTCTCTTCTTTTGCTTTTTCAAAACACTGCCATTTAAAATGCCACACCCATGGACCAATTGGCAAATACCTGTGCCACTGGCCAAACAGCTTTAATGGTCAACTCATCAACCCAGATGTAAGCACTATAAAAAGACTACAGGTGAGTACCTGTTAACAACAATAACGAAATACCAGCATGGCAGCGAGAGGCCTGTTAAAACAACATATATTAGCAGTTGAAAGAAACTGTTATTCATGTTTTCTATTTGTTATATGATTTTTCTGTGTTTATGTACTATATTTTATTGATGACATGCTCTGTTCTCATTTTCAGTTCAAAATGCATGTTGACAGAGATATGTCTCCAAATGAATACAAATAAGTGAATGAATGACAATTTTGTTTTGTGTCTGGTGTATGTGTTAATAGGAACAATTAGCTAAAAGGTTAGCCATAACAACCCGAAACGGTGAAATTACAATATTAATTATACATTATAATATGTTAACAGCTTGTTGCACTGTCCCGTAGAAATTCAGCTTTCAATTTAAACGACCTAAAGGTATTTACAGTGAGAGATCCTGTCTGGTATAGGTAACCAGTGCAGCTATTGTGCTAACCTTCGGTTAATTAGCTTTCTTATTCATTTTTATGCCCTCCGTTTTTAAAATTGTTGGCCTAGAGTATTTTCAGGGCCATAATACGATGAAACATGTTAAAAAACGCAATTGCATTGTTGAACAAGTTGCAGACAGTAGCAGGACAGACAGTAGTTAAAGAATGGTATGACTCTGGTACTGACCATTCTCTTTGATTGGTGCTTCATCCAGACTCTGGCTCCAAATCCGTAAGGGTGCCAACATTTTCTGACGCCACTGCTTAAAAATCAGTTTTTGTTCTTCTTGGCTCTTCTTTCCAAAAAATACCGACGGGTTTAAATTCATACTTTCTGGAAAATAGGAAGAGGATTCATCGTTGCGGGATTATTTTGATCACCCAGAAAACGTTCTCTGCATATGTGAAGTTTCAGATCATCACCATCATCGCTAATTTTGGTACCTTTTAATGTTTTCTGCAGGTTGTCCAGGTCAGATAAAACGGTGGGATCTTCAGTGTTTTCTCTGATCACTTCTGTTAGCTTCAAAAGACTGTGGTACCCACGCATGTAACGGTCCAAGACGTCCCAGAAACTGTTGATCTGCTGTGGAACTGTTAGAAATATAAATCTACATGCCTAAAAACACATAACATCGCTACATCGGAGTGTGTTATACAAGCTATTATTCTATAAAGCTGTATACCTTCAGTCCAGAGAAACACCACATCCAGTAAGTTGTTCTTAACAGCAGCTGCTGTACCCACCAGACCTGAATGCACAGACACATATAGTTAGTCATTTCTATTGCTGAACATTTGTTCCTTACTTTTTCCCAATTAAGAGACAAATTAAGATTTTTACCTTTCAGCCAGTCAGGCATAAATTGGACCAGACTTTTTTCATCTGCTACAGCGCTGCCCACTATACCTGCATGACAAAGCAGAAACCGACAGGACACGCACTGTAAAACTGCCACTTCTGCTGACAATAACATCTTCTAGCGTGCAGTATACTTTAAGTTATGGGCAATCGGAATCAGAATAACCTTCATTGGCCAAATATGTGGGCATACAAGCAATTTGACTCCGGTACTTACACAGAAATATAAAGAACAGCTCGGCACAAGGACTACAAAGCTGGACAAATAATGGTTAAGAAAAGACAGCACTGTTATGTACATAGGTAGTAAAAAAAGAGTATGTATACATATTCAGTCCGTTCTCAATCCCAAGGAGTCAAATACAGACGCTTTGTCACAGCATCAGATACCGACACACAAGGCACCCTTTAGCACTGTTATTGACAGTACATGACTGATTTAACTGTTCATCAGAGTGACGGCCAGCAGAAAGATTTTGTTCTTGTGTCTGGCTGTTTTGGCGTACAGTTATCTATAGAGCCTACCAGAGGGGAGGAGCTGAAAAAGGTTCTGTCCAGGGTGGGAGGGATCTGCATTGATGTTTCCTGAATCTGGAGGTGTATAAATCCTGGATGGAGGTGTAGGGACTCGCCACTCAAAGTGGCAGTTGAGCCATTTAACTAAGTTTCCCAGGATCCTTGAGCCCTAAAACCCGTCCATGGACTCAACGTTTACAGTAACTACAGGATTCCATGACTCATGACGTCATTGGGTCATACGTAACCGCAGCCAGAGACAGTTCAGAAAGAAGAGACCCCACTGAGAGTCGGTTTCCTGTATCTGTGTCACAAGGGTTTCACCACGGCCCAGCCCCTTTAGGACACTAGCGGCCGATCCTGAGTCTATTACCTCCAATGGGAGAAGTGAACCTGAACACAGACTATATCCCGTTCTGTCCCTCCACAGCCACCAAAGTAAATATTGGACTTATTCTTCACAATCCACATATCTTCCAAACATTTTTACACTGACATGGTATTTGGTACAAATCTAGAGAAAATGAACTTTGTATACTCTCGCTAGATTTCCATAATGCTAAATATGGCTGTTAGCTTTGTAACGTTGATAAGCAAAAGAAAATATGAACACATTAGGTAAATGTGACAAAAGGTGTCTTGGGGTTAAAGAAATAGCCAGACTACAACTTTAAAGTCACATTTCTTTCAGTACAGTTGCTCATGGACAGATTTCCTGGTTTTTAGGAGACTTTGTTTTTAGCGGTCAAAAGAGCCAGACATACCTTGCAGCTTGATCATGTCCATCTCTGGCCCTTTACCTCCACGATCTGCTTCACGGTTGCTGCCCACATGAGAGGTGTTAATGAAGAAACCCAGATCTGTAAAGCCAGCCTCATGAGGAGTCATCTCAAACCATTTACCTGAGCCAAGCACAGGTACACAGAGGCAGAAAGACTGAGAAAGTATAACTTACACTTATGTTACAGAGTTAGAGACCTGATTGATTATCAAGAAAGAATCTAGTGGAAATCTGAACTCAGTACTTATCTACAGCTGCAGTCTGTAGTCCTTTAATATGTCATTTTGCATCTTTTCACAGTTTGAGCTGTGTGCATGTTTGTCTGCATAGTTATGTGTGTTCGGTACCTTCTACAGGGCCATTGTGCAGGCAGTTTTTGTTTACTGCGTTGTAGATGGGATAGGGATTGGAGGCGTTCTTGCCATCCTCAGTAAGATTTCGATGATCCAACTGCCAAGAAAGCGTCAGGTAAGTGAACTATAAACCTAGAAATGATATTGTTCTTGTATTTACACATGGCTATAAAATATATATGTTTATATTTACATAGCCTATCTGCATTTAGTTTTGAGACTTATATGATATGAAACATATAAAACTATCTATTGCCTACATAGCTCTCCACACGGCAATTACCTCGCCATGGGGGCACGACAGAGAGACGGTTTAAAGTACATTGGCAGAAGTCAAAATTCATTAGTTTGCCCAGCAGGAAGAGTTTTCACTGTGCTTTTTTGTAAAGGCATTCCACATGATCTCTAAAAGTAAAAGATTAGTCAAACACAATCCCCAGGACTTCACTTGCTCCACCTTCTGGCACACAACTGTAATTGGTTCAAATAGAGGGTTTGACAGGTTGTTCTTGTTAACATTTAGACACATCCTTTGTTCAACCAAAGATGATCATTAAATCACTTCATAAGTTCTGTAACAAAGTAAGTGTACATGATTAATGACTCTACATTGGTAAGACATGTCATCTACATACTTAAGTAGTGGGACATTTTCTAGGTTGCATATAAGACTGTCAGACATAAAATAATTGAAGTTAAAACTCTTTGAGGTCGGCTACATAAGAATTGGTTTATCCAGCAAATAGCAGCTGAGTCTACCTGCAAGTTAAAAAGACGTGGTAGCAGCTTATCTGTATTAAAAGTAATAAAGGAGGCGGGGGATGTGATGGTGTGACAGCGCTGTTGAAACATTGAGTGGAATTTCATTTGAGATGGCGTATATCTTTTACAATTGAAATATAGTAAATAGTTATGGCTCATTAGCATAAGTACAAATAACACTGCCAGTTTGAATGTTCATGATAGAACCACTGCATTATGTTCTTGTGACGGCTACACTGTTGCAGCTCATTTTAGTTTCTCGTCTGTATAATTTCCTTTTTCTCTGATTGATTGACATTAGTTTTGATTATCAATAAATGGTGGTTTAACCAACAAATAAGTGCAAGATGATTAATTCCCTCGATAAGGGACTTTCCAAATCTTAACCACTTCAATTTGTCTTAAGTCAATTAACGTCTAATTATGCAGCTTTAATTTCAAAGAAAATATTAACTACATTAAAAAAAAGCCACACATAGACTACATGTATGTGTGACTACATTGATCTTAGCTAATTAGCTGACGTACCTTGGAATATAGGAAAGGATATGGTGATATTTGATCTTCTAACATTGTCATGTGATATTGAAACTTCAATGTCAGAAACAAAGCAGATTATATAGTAATTTATAACGACACCACTTGTGCAAATAAGTGAGATATATGAATTAAATACAAAGAACAAACTATCCAGTATGTAATCCTTCACCTGCAATTTTAATTTATTGAAACGTTCTTGATGTCTGTCTTTTGCCAATGAAAAGAGATAATAGACAATTTTCCACCCCGTCATAGCATTATGTTGTGATGTTGTGAACTGATGATACTTTATGCCTTGTGAGTAGGAAGCTTCAGTATCCTTGTGCAAGGCACTCATCCCTGACCATCGTCTTTCATTCTCATTGAGGGAATAGTTTAGTAAAAGGGCACACATTGTTATGCTTCCATACATTTAAGGGCATTTGAACAAATGCACTGGGTCAGCCATGCTTCTTTATTTCAGCTTTGCTGTGTATGTTTGCACTTTACCTGTTTCATGATCCCAGCAGAGGTCAAGACCCCCCAGATATCAGAGAGAGAGAAGTGCTCCTCCTCTGCTCTCTCGCCCAGCCAGGCCAGAGCTGCCTCCAGCTCAACCCCAGGACCTGACAGCCTGGACACGGCTGTGTCCATGCTGCTGCTCCACTCTGGGTCACTGTAGATGGAGGACATGGACCTGTAAGAGAGGGAAAAATTCAATATTTACTCGAAAAAAACTGACAATAACTGCAGCAAACTATGTGAGTGCAAGTTACGGCCTGTGGGAAAACCAGCAGAACATGACACAACTGAGTGTCCACAAAGTGTGACTGTGTTTGATTGTTATTTAAACTTTTTTGTCAGATGGTTCACACGATTATCATTACATTGAATTATTCAACTTACTCTATCATATGTATATTCTTTAATATATTTTGTATTTGATGTGATTTGTTTCCTTTCACGTTATCATTTGTAGTACGGGAGCCATACATAACAGCACTGTGTAGTACAGTGGGTGTTATATTGTGCTTATTCATTGAACTTTACTCTCAAAAGGTCATTGAGGGGCGACCCTCATTTACAATGACATTGAGTCAGAACAACAAAAACAGATACTAACAGAGAAGAGGCAAGTCCATTATAAAATGATAAAAGTCAATAAAACGTTCGCATTAGGGAAAATAATTTGATGGATGAATTATGATAATTAAGATGTAAAATACAATACAGTGAAAAGCAAAAAGCCCTAGAATTGTGCAGTTACAGTAGATAATTTAATGGATACATTGAAATAATTAAATTGTAAAATAAAATAGTTATATAAAACAGTTGAGAGGTTGAGAGGTTTAAGATCAAATTACTAAAATGTCCAATGTGAATAGATTTATAAGACGTGCTGTAAATTGTAAATGTAAATAGCTCATGGAACATGTCAGTAGAGTGTGTCTGATGAGTGACAACGCAATGCTGAAATGTTTTATTCTACTTTTCCAGTAAGGGCTCTAAAGATAAAAAGACACCACTGAGTATCGCGTCTCCACCCAACCCCATCACATGCAATGATGGTTACCTTAGTGATAAATCTCAAGGCAGTCCAGAAGTTTGAAGATTGAGTTGAAGATGTGTCCCTTATGATTCACTTCACTTTAGTCCAAGTGAAGTATATATATATATATATATATATATATATATATATATATATATATATA